GAATGCTCTTTGATTGTAGCTGAACTACAACTCCCAAATGTCAAGGTATATTTTCCCAAAACCCCACCAGTGTTCACATTTGGGCATATTGAGCATTCTTGCCCAGTTTGGTCCAGATCCATCATTGTTTGAGTCCACAGTGCTCTCAGGATGTAGGTGAACTACAACTTCAAAACTCAAGTATTTTCCAGTATTTTCTGTTGATCATGGGAGTTCTGTGTGCCAAGCTGGTTCAATTCCATCTTTGGTGGAGTTCAGAATGCTCTTTGATTGTAGGTGAACTATAAATCCCATCCATTACAACTCCCAAATGACAAACCTAACCACCAGCACCACCAGCACCACCACCCCCCCGGCAACCCCACCAGTATTCAAATTTGGGTGTATTGGGTATTTGTGCCAAATTTGGTCCAGGGAATGAAAATACATCCTGCATATCAGATGTTTACATTAAGATTCATAACAGTAGCAAAATTACAGTTATGAAGTAGCAACAAAAATAATTTCGTGGTTGGGGGTCACCAGAACATGAGGAACTATATTAAGGGGTCGCGACATTAGGAAGGTTGAGAACCACATGGTTAGAAGGAAGGGGGAAGAGAAGGAGAATCACAGTGAGAAATAAAGATGGAAAAGCCAAGAGAAGACAAATTTAACAGGCAAGGACAAAGAAAACATCAGAAAGGGAGAAGGGCTTATGGGGAAGATGAGTGTGGAAAAGAGAGAAAAGAGAAGATGATGTTTAGGTAGGAGTTGTACAAGGAGAAGAGGAGAAGGTGGAAGAGGTTGAGAGGCAAAGGGGGAGATGCTTGGGGGAGTGTATGGTGTGTGTTCGAGAAGAATTTTACAGTCGGCCCTCTACATTTGTAGATGTGATGTTTCTCGATTTGGTTATTAACTTGAATAAAGTATTTTCTCTAGGAATTTCTAGGTCGTTGAAGGCTTTCCTGGCTGGAATCACTGGGTTGTTGTAGGTTTTTACGGGCTATATGGCCATGTTCTAGAGGCATTCTCTCCTGACGTTTCGCCTGCATCTATGGCAAGCATCCTCAGAGGTTGTGACTTCACAACCTCTGAGGATGCTTGCCATAGATGCAGGTGAAACGTCAGGAGAGAATGCCTCTAGAACATGGCCATATAGCCCGAAAAAACCTACAACAACCCAATCTCTAGGTCCTCCATTGCAATTCTATGGTCAACCATGAGGTCTTCCTGGAGGACCTAAAGATTCCTAGAGAAGTGTTCTTTCAGGTAAAAAAGATGGATTTTCATGTATGGTTTTTCCACTTTTGTGGGGATTCCATGCCCCTAACCATAGTGAATGTGGAAGGCTGGCTGTATACTGAATGTCTCCTGAGGCACTGAATAATGGACTGTTCAATATTTCCCACATTGAACACTCCCTCATTTTCAGAAACATTGAGAGAGGGAGGATGAGGAGGATAACACGGAGGGGATTATTTGGAAAGTCTATGGCATCCATTATGAAACTTGCACTTTTGTTCTGAGACTTCTTCTTGCTGCCCTGAATCCAAGTTCTGAGGTTCTTCTTGTTCTGAGGCCAAGAAACCTTATTCATTTAGTTGGACATTTTAAGATATTTTCACTACTATAATGGTCAGCATTTTGGAATTTGTCCCATTAATCACAGGATCCTTTGTTGAGTAATGCTTTGGCGCTCCAAAGGAAGGTGGCATTTACAATCTATTCATCACAGAATAAGCCTGGCTATTGTAGTCTAATTAGCTGTCTGCTTTCATTCCTTCGAGCCCACAAGACAGTTGTCTAATCAGATAACCCCAGTCAAAAAAACGTTCCTTTAGAAAGGTCACGCTGATAGAAACAATTAGCATTATAATGTACTCACAATGTCCAAAGGGCTTCCCCATATACGCCCTTGGTTATCTTGGAACAATTTTGTAAAGCTGTTCAGTGCTGTGATTTCCATATGGCGAAAAGGAGGCGAATTCAGCTGTGAGGGGAGATTGGGTTTGCTAAGCTGTGCAAAAACCCTCCAGGCAGTTCAAAAGTATCCACATTTGTTGTTTATTATCATCAAGTAGACTTATGAATCCAAGTCAACAGCTTGGCTCAGGTCTTGCAGAATCAAGTACATGGCATCCTTGATTGAGTCTATATATCTGGAACTAGCCATCCCCTGCCATGCATGGCTGTGGCCCAGTCTGATGAACTGGAAAATAAAGTAATAAGAAAGTATTGGTTTCTAATATATGTAATTTCTTTATCCTTGTAGTAAACAATATTTGTTGTTGTTTCTTTGTCAGTATTGATGTGGAGATTGTCTGGTTTGCCTACTCTGGAACATGCAACATATAATTATCCTTCTTTAGGGGTTCCTTTCAAATCTATGATACTATATCTGCCATGTACATATTGTGTGTGTGTGAATCATATATATCTGTATATATCTATGGCTGAATGGCTCTTTGTCAGGAGGGCTTTGATTATGCTTTCTTGCCCTGGTGAAGGCAGCATTTCTCAACCTGGGGGTCGGGACCCCTGGGGGATCGCAAGGGTGTGTCAAAGGGGGCTGCTCTAATTTCACTTGGGAGGGAGTTCCATAGCCAAGGGGCCACCACTGAGAAGGACTTGTCTCTTCTCCCCACCAGTTGCACCTGTGAGGAGAGCAGGCCCTCCCCAGAAGATCTTAATCTCCGAGGTGTATCATAGCAGGAGATACATTTGGACTGGTAAAATGGGCCAGAACTGTTTAGGGCAGTGGTTCTCAACCTGTGGGTCCCCAGATGTGTTTGGCCTTCAACTCCCAGAAATCCTAACAGATGGTAAACTGGCTGAGATTTCTGGGAGCTGTAGGCCAAAAACATCTGGGACCCCTGGTTGAGAACCACTGGTGTAGGCTAAAGCCAGCACTTTGATTTATGCTTGGAAGCAGACTGGAAGCCAGTGGAGCTGGTGTGACAGGGGAGTTGTATGCTTCCTGAATGCTGTCCTAGTGAGCAATCTGGCTGCCACATGTTGGACCACTTGAAGCTTCTGAACAGTCTTCAAAGCCAGCCCCACATAGTGCACATTGCAGTAGTCTATCCTTTTTGTTACAAGAGCATGGACCACCGTGGCCAAGTCAGACTTCACAAAGTAGGGGTGCAAAAAAGTGTAATTCCAGTCAATGTTCGTTTCTGGGATTAACATAACTCAAAAACCACTGAACGAATTGACACAAAATCACAATACAACTATCAGGCCAACAAGTGACCATCACTCATACCCCCCACCCCAAAAAAAAACCAGCAGAAAAGACTTAAAAACCCCAAAAAGCTAAATGATGAAAAGCTAAATGATGATACAGAAAAAAAGGGAAGAAGGAGGGAAGGAAGGGGAGAAAGAAAGAAGGAAATAAAGAGAGAAAGAGGGAGGGAAAGAAAGAAGGAAAGAGAGAAAGAAGCATTGAAGCAAGGAGCAAAGGAAGGAAGGAAGGAAGGAAGGAAGGAAGGAGGCAGAGAAGGAAGAAAGGAGAGAAAGAAGAAGGAAAATAAACGGGGGGGGGGAGGAAAGAAAGAGGTAGAGAAGGAAAGAAAAAAGGGAAAGGAAGGAAAGAAGGAGCAAAGGAAGGATGGGAGCAAAGAGCAAAGGAAGGAAGGAAGGAAAGAGGTAGAGAAGGAAGAAAGGAGAGAAAGAGGGATGGAAGGAAAGAGGTAGAAAAAGAAGAAAGGAGAGAAAGAAGAAGGAAAAGAAACAGGGAAGGAAAGAAAGAGGTAGGGAAGGAAGGAAGGAGAAAAGGAAAGAAAAAAGGAAAGAGGGAGTGAAGGAAGGAGGGAAAGAAGGAAAAAAGAGGGAGGGAAGGAATGAAGGAAACAGAAGGAAGGATGAAAGCAAAGAGCGAAGGAAGGAAGGAAAGAGGTAGAGAAGGAAGGAAGGAGAGAAAGAGTGAGGGAAAAGAAAGGAGGGGAAGGAAAGAAAGATGTAGAGAAGTAAGGAAGGAGAGAAGGAAACAAAAAAGGAAAGGAAGGAAAGAGGGAGCGAAGGAAGGAGAGGAAGAGGGGGGAAGGAAAGAAGGAAACAGAAGGAAGAATGGAAGCAAAGAGCGAGGGAAGGAAGGAAAGAGGTAGAGAAGAAAGGAGAGAAAGAGGGAGGGAAGGAAAGACAGAAGGAAGGATTGAAACAAAAAGTGAAGGAGGGTAGGAAAGAGGTAGAAAAGGAAGAAAGGAGAGAAAGAGGGAGGAAAAGAAAAAGGGGGAAGGACAGAGGTAGAGAAGGAAGGAAAGAGGGAGGAAAAGAAAGAAGGGGGAAGGAAAGAGGTAGAGAAGGAAGGAAGGAGAGAAAGAGGGAGGAAAAGAAAGAAGGGGGAAGGAAAGAGGTAGAGAAGGAAGGAAGGAGAGAAAGAGGGAGGAAAAGAAAAAGGGGGAAGGAAAGAGGTAGAGAAGGAAGGAAGGAGAGAAGGAAAGAAGAAAAGGGAGAGAGGGAGGGAAGGAAGGAAGGAAGGAAAGAGGGAGCGAAGGAAGGAGGGAAGGAGAGAAAGAGGGAGGAAAAGAAAAAGGGGGAAGGACAGAGGTAGAGAAGGAAGGAAGAAGGAAAGAAGGGAGGGAAGGAAGGGAGGAAGGAAAGAGGGAACGAAGGAAGCAGGGAAAGAAGGAGAGAAAGAGGGAGGGAAAGTTGGCGGGTGCATACACACACACACACACACACTATATTGGCTGGAGTTACACTTAAAAACGTGCCCGTCCCGACTTACAAACACATTTAACTTAAAACCCATATTGTTCGTAACTCGGGGACATCCTTTATTGGCTTTGCTGCAAATAACCTTCTGGGTAGAGAAGAGTTTTCTGTTTTATTATTTTTTTCCAAACCCCGATCTATACCGGGGGGGGGGCGGGGGGGGGCGGAGCAGGAAGGCCTTCCCCTCCCCTCCCGTCCCTTCCAATGCGAGGAGGGCAGCCGGGGCGCGTGGCCAGGCGCTTGGGAGGCGGGGTCCTCGGGCGTCGCAGGCAGAAGGGACGGCACTCCCCGGCTCCCACCGCCAAAGAGGAGGAGGAGGAGGAGGAGGATCATCCCGAGCTCCGCCTCCCCGGAGGTCCTTCCACTGCTGCCGCGTTCCATGCGGGAGTGTCAGCATCAGCAGCAGCAGCAGCGCCCATTTCTGCCCTGCGCAGGGGGCGGGGAAGCAGGCCGGAGAGAGAGAGAGAGAGAGGGAGGGAGCGTCCGGCTTCTCCTGGCTTTGCTCGCGGGCCTCTCTCTCTCTCTCTCTCTTTCCTCTCCTTCCATTCCCAGCCCTTCTCTCTCCCTCTCCCTCTCTCCCTCCTTCCACCCGCGGCGCCGGGGTCCCGTGGGCGCATGGAACTGCTGTGCGGGGAAGCGGGTCCGGCGCGGCGGGCCAAGCGGGACCCTCGGCTCCTGGCCGACCGGCGCGTCCTCCGCAATCTGCTCCTCCAGGAAGAGCGCTACACCCCCCGCGCCTCCTACTTCCAGTGCGTCCAGAAGGAGATCCAGCCCTACATGCGGAAGATGTTGGCCTTCTGGATGCTGGAGGTCGGTGCCCGGGTCTGGGGGGGGGGGGGGTGTTCCTTCCTCCTCCTCCTCCATCCCCGCCGTTTAGTAAACCCATCCTCACAGCCCTGGAGTGTTCTTTTTAACCTCCCCTTCCCCATATATAAAGTGGGGGAAGGCAGGAGATAACCCAGGCCTGGGCAAACTTCGGCCCTCCGGGTGTTTTGCAACTCCCTACCGGCTGTTAGGAATTGTGGGAGTTGAAATCCAAAACACCCAGAGGGCCGAAGTTTGCCCAGGCCTGGGATGGGCAGGAAAGGGAATCAGTGTGTGTGAGTGTGAGAGAGAATAAATACATGCATATCTCCCTTCTGACCACGAGGCTTTACTTCCTAGGAAAATTTTGCATACCCTCATACAAATATATACGGCAGATTACTTCATAGGAAGCCTTTGTACTCCCCCATATATGGGGGATTACTTCCTTGGAAACCTTTGCATTTGGCTCCCCGATAGATAGATATTGGATCTGAACATATACACATACACACATACACACATACACACACACACACACACACACACACACACACACACACACACACACACACACACACACACACACACTGCTCCCATATAGGATGCAATCTGCATTTGGCTCCCGGATAGATCTCTCCTCTCTCTCTCTTCTCTCTCTCTCTCTCTCTATATATATATATATATATATATATATATATATATATATATATCATCCCCTCCCACACACACACATATATATATATAGCTCCCATATAGGATGCAAGGGTTTCCTAGGAAGGCTTACTTCCTAGAAAATCTTTGCATTTAACCTCCCCCCCCCCCATATATATAGAGAGAGAGAGAGAGAAGAGAGATGGGATCTGTATATGTGTGTATATAATATATATTAGAGATATATAAGAGAGAGATGGGATCTGTATATAAATGTGTATATGGGCTGCAAAGGTTCCCAAGGAAGTAAGCCTATGAGGTTTCCTAGGGGCTTGCTCCCATTATTTGTGGGGGAGGAAATGCATATATATTAGGGGAAGGGAATGCATAGGATTCCTTGGAAGAAAACTGTGTGGGATTTACACCGGTGGTGGTCCCATATATATCTATATGTATATATTAGGGGGGAGGGGGGAGGAAATACAAAGGTTTGCTAGGAAGAAAGCCTCCTGGAGTTCCCATGGGACTTGATCCTCTCTCTCTCTCTATATATATATATATATATATTGCAGAGAGAGAGATGGAATCTGAGAGATGGGTTTTGCGTCTTGGTAAGTGTGCATTTAAGAGTTGCTGTGTTTACTCGGAAGTAAACCACATTGAGCAAGGATGCGTGTAGGATTGAGGCCTGGAGAAAGTGTTGATCTTTGAATTGGGGGGGGGGCAGGATGGGATGAGATTGAGTGCATTTAGGGGGTGTATTCAGCCTTATCTGGGGTGCAAGGGTATGTTTTGTAGCAGTATTTGTGGGGCTCAGGAATCAATGGAGGCAGGGAACCACGCTGCAGTTAGGAATCAATGCATTGCAAGGCCTGGGAATGTGCAAGCGGCTCCTTCCTGCCTGCAGTTGGGTCTTGTGTTGGGGAAAGCAAGCCCCCCATTGCTGCAAGGCCAAATAAAGAGCCATTTTTAGGTTGGAGAGGTGGCAAAAAAGGGAGCTGCTAAGCTGCCAATAGACTTTGATCTCCCAACTGGGAAAGGAGGAAAAGGAAAGGAACAAATGCATCAGGTCAATTATAATTATAATAACAACAACCACCACTACCAAAAACAAGATGCTGCTTTTTAAAACAAATAGCATACAATGATGTGACCTATTCCCCATCAGACTGGATTGTTGATGGGTTTGTCTGTTCAAAAGAGCTTTAGGGTGTGTCTATGCCATGCATGGGCAAACTTGGGCCCTCCAGGTGTCTTGTACTCCAACTCCCACCATTCCTAACAGCCTCAGACCCCTTCCTTTTCCCCCTCAGCCGCTTAAGCGGCTGAGGGGGAAAAGGAAAGGGCCTGAAGCTGTTAGGAATGGTGGGAGTTGGAGTACAAGACACCTGGAGGGCCCAAGTTTGCCCATACTTGGTACACTGTGGAATGAATGCAGTTTGACACCACTTAAACAACCATCAATGCTATGGAATCATCAGAGTTGCAGTATCACAAGGTTTTTAACCTTCTCTGTCAAAAAAAGCCTAGTGTTGAATAAACTACATCTTCCATTGAATCATGGCAATTCAAGTGGTTCCAAACTGCATTAATTATACAATGTAGATACACCCTGACATGACCATCCCGAGCCTGTCTGAACTTTGACTAGCCTTCTCCTTATGCAAGAGAGTCTATATATTCAGCATAAATGGCCATTTCCCCTCAAGGAACGTGTGTCATCCTGACAATTTGATTTGGCTCACGGTTTAGGGCTTGCAAAGAGTAATTTGATTTGGCCTGATCTGGGTAAAGGTAGGAATACCTTCCAGGAATGCAGTCTGGGAAACTCCCAGAAACTGGATAGAAGAGAACTCATTCTTTTGAAATGCTGTGTTGTTAGTGTCACAAATTCTTGCAATCATGTAGCAAAACAGAGTTGTGTTGACTTGCAAGCCTGGTTATTTTCCTTATATATATTTCTGTGTCAGGAGCGACTTGAGAAACTGCAAGTTGCTTCTGGTGTAAGAGAATTGGTCATCTGCAAGGATGTTGCCCAGGGGCGCCAGGATGCTTTTACCATCCTGTGGAAGGCTTCTCTCATGTTCCCACATGGGGAGCTAGAGCTGACAGACAGAAGCTCACCCCGCTCACCGGATTTGAACTGCTGACCTTTTGGTCAGCAGTCCTGCTGGCACAAAGGTTTAAAAGTCATCATTGAGACAAATACCAAATGCTAAAGCAGGAAAGTCCTGTGACAACAAATCCATACAAAAATTGCTCTGTTACAAATCTATAAGAAAGTTGGACAAGAAAAAAATAATGAGCTTTTGCAGAAAAGAGAAAGCTCAGTGTAGATTTTTAACTGTAATTTCATGCATTCAATGTGGGCAGTGTTTTGGTCACTCGGTCTAGCCAGTGGTCAAGATGAGGAACTGGACGCCGGGCCTTTCCACTCTCTCTTTGATTCCACAAATTATTCTTGGTTGATATTGTCATCATTTGATAGCTTCCTGTGTGCACATAGCATTCAGTTCAATGGCGTTTGCATTGGCATGAGATCCAGAGCGTCAGGGTTGAAATGTTCTGTAGAGGGATATGAATGGTGTGATTCTTACTCACAAAGCATGACACATTGGGACAAAATTTACAAAAACCCAAGTGCTGATTCTGTATTCAAAATCTGGTTGCAGTGGATGCTGACTCAAAAAGACTTCTGCCATAAGTACATGAATGATTTGGAATGCATGAGACATTGAAAGTGCTCCGTTTGCCTAGTATTTAAATATGCCAGTTTAAATCTCTAGATTTTATTTTTTTTTCATGTCAGGAATGACTTGAGAAACTGCAAGTCGCTTCTGATGTGAGAAAATTGGCCGTCTGCAAGGATGCTACTCTGAAACGCCCGGATGTTTTATCATCCTGTGGGAGACTTCTCTCATATATCCGCATGAGAAACTGGAGCTTACAGACAGAAGCTCACCTTGCTCCCTGGATTCGAACTGCCCACCTTTCGGTCAGCAGTCCTGCTGGCACAAGGATTTAATCCATTGTTTCACTGGGGGCTCCATCTCTAGATAATTATATAATTATGGTCATTGATGGGAACTCAAGTCAATACAGCTTGAAAGAGGGTTAAGACCATAAAAATACCCTATGTGTTTGAACATGGAAATTATCTGACAGAAAATGCTACGTCTGATTCTTTCATTAAGATCTGGTTGTTATGAATGTTTGAGTGCCTGTGTAGGTGGACTTCTATGTCTTTTCACAGCATCCTATAAAAAAAGAGAAATATTTCCATTGGCAGGTGGAAAGTATGGCTCAGTGACCTAACCTAACCAATTTTGCAAAAGACGTCTATGGAAGAGCAGGAAACTGCAGCGTGATCCCTGGGTTCCCCATTTAAGAAGCTTGGTGCCCTTTCACACTACATACTTATAGCCCTGTGGTTCCTCTTTAACTACCATGGCAATATCCATGGGAAGGCGGATCTGGCCAAGGTGGTCCACGCCTTAGTCACCTCTAGACTGGATTACTGCAATGCACTCTACGTGGGGCTGCCCTTGAAAATGGCCCGGAAATTTCAGATGATCCAACAGGCGGCAGCCAGGTTGTTAACTGGGGCTCCTTACAGAGGGAGGTCATCCCTCCTGTTTAAGGAGCTCCACTGGCTGCCTTTCATCTACCGGACCCAATTCAAGGTGCAAGTTCTTACCTACAAAGCCCTGAACGGTTTGGGACCCGCCTACCTGCGTGACCGCATCTCTGTATATGAACCCACACGACCTCTTCGATCATCCAGGGAGGCCCTGCTCTCAATCCCACCAGCATCGCAGGCGTGATTGGTGGGGATGAGAGAGAGGGCCTTTTCGGTGGTGGCCCCTCGATTCTGGAACTCACTCCCTAAAGACATCAGACAGGCTCCAACTTTGGCAGTCTTCAGGAGGAACTTGTGCCTTCCAGTGTGCCTTCCTGGAATAATGTCCTCCAGAGCATTTTACATTTTCTAAGTCTGCTCGTATGCCCTTTCACAAACACCAGTATCATCTTCCGTTCATGTCCCAGCATATTTCCAATTTTAACTTTACATTTGGCCTCCCCTCTGTTTTAATTGTGTGTTGTTTATTGATAATGTTGTTTATCTTATTGTCTATATTTTTAATTGCTTGTATTGTTGTTTTATTGCTTGTATTGTTGTGTTTGGGCTTGGCCTCATGTAACCCGCACCGAGTCCCTTGGGGAGATGGTAGCGGGGTACAAATAAAGTTAATAAATAAATAATAAATAAATATCCTGTAGAATCCTGGGGTTTGTATTTTGCTTAGGCCCTGATGCATATTGACTGAAAACACTAAATCAGAGCTTTCCAAACTTCATGTTGGTGACACACTTTTTAGATGTGTATCATTTCACGACACAGTAATTCAGAAGTTAAATCAGCCCCTTATAAGAGAGACCGACACATGCAAACATTTTAATAACTGAATGCATAGGGACACAACATCTCTCGTGACAACATGTCATTCATATTTTTAAAAATGTATGAGTTTTGCTTATTTCATATATATTTCTTATTATGGTCATGCAACACACACACTGCAACCAACACACAAATGTGTCGCGACACACAGTTTGGAACACTTAGCTCTAACTCCTCTTCCCTAAAATACAATTCCAAGGATTCCATAGGCTTTATGCATGATTATTAAAGTGAAATTCCAACATTATAATTGTGTAGGGCAGTGGTCCCCAATCTTTAGTCCTCCATGTGTTTTGGACAATTCCTAACCACCTGGTCAGTGGGCTAGGGTTTCTGGGAGTTGAAGTCCAAAACAATTGGAGGACCAAAGGTTGCGAACCACCTAGAATACATTGTTAATGGTAATTCTTTAAAGCTTCCATACAAATAAGAGTGGATGCCCGCCTGTTCATGGACATGCTCACCTTAATTTTTGATTGTTGGTCTTGTTAGGTTTGCGAAGAGCAGAAATGTGAAGAGGAGGTGTTCCCCCTGGCCATGAATTACGTCGATCGCTACCTGTCCTGTGTCTCCACCCGGAAAAACCACTTGCAGCTTTTGGGAGCTGTCTGTATGCTTCTGGCCTCCAAACTGCGGGAGACCACACCTCTCAGCGTGGAGAAACTCTGCATCTATACGGACAATTCCATCACACCGTGTGAAGTTTTGGTAAGATGTCTTCCTTTCTCTGGTTATAAGACACCTTCTCCATTTCTACAAATTGGTTTGTGCTGCCACTCATTAGTAGCACTGTGGTACTTCTTCCTGTGTGGCATATACGTTTGCCATTTTCCTGCTTCTTTTCCTGCTTCTTTCTCAGTAGACATGACACTTTTCCCTGGTGCTGCCATTATGTCTTTTTCATATGATTCAATTTTGCTTTTGATGGTAATAGGGAGGAGGGAGCAAGCTTGTTTTCTGCTGCCCTGGAGACTAGGACACCGAACAATGGCTTCAAACTACAGGAAAGGAGATTCCACGTGAACATTAGGAAGAACTTACTAACTGTGAGATATGTTCAGCAGTGGATCTCTCTGCCCTGGAGTCTTGTGGAGGCTCCTTTGGATGCTTTTAAACAGAGGCTGGGTGGCCATTTCATTCATTCATTCATTTATGGTATTTCTATCCTGTTCCTTCTCAACCCCCGAAGGGGGACTCAGGACGGCTTACATTTGGCAGCAATTCGATGCCACTACATATAATAGAGCAATATAATAACAATTAAAACAATAAGTAAAACATTCATTAAAACAGTAAAAAACAGTATTGATAGCCGTATCACCATTCCAGTCAATTCCCTACCCAATTCCATGTCCAAAGTGCTATCTATGTCTGTTGTCCAAAAGCCTGGTCCCAGAACCACGACTTCAATTTCTTCTTAAATTACAGGAGGGACAAAGCCGTTCTTACCTCAGTGGGAAGCGAGTTCCACAGGCGAGCCACAGCCGAGAAAGCCCTGTCTCTCATCCCCGCCAGACGTATTTGTGATGCTGGCGGGAGCGAGAGCAGGGCCTCCCCAGATGATCTTAAACTGTGAGGTGGGCCATCTGTCAGGGGTGCTTTGAAAGCAATTTTCCTGCTTCTTGGCAGGAGGTTGGACTGGATGGCCCATGAGGTCTCTTCCAACTCAATGATTCTGTGATTCTGTATAAGTGATCTGGGGTTAAAGGTTGACAATCCCAAATTATTTGGGATTGACTTAAGAAATAAGGGTTGCAAAGAGCTCCACGAAAAGCCTGTTCTGTTCCCATATTTCCATAATATGAAAAAAGGAATCCTGCAGCTTGTGGTGTATGAAAAAGACTCATTATCTTACCAGTTCTATTTGGGGGGGGGGGGGGATTATCCTGAAGACAAGAACTGTTTGCAATTTTCCTTTGATATAAATTGCCTTGGAATGCCTTGGAATATTTAAGATAAACACTCCATTTTGTAGACATAGCAAAATATGATTCAGAACTGAAGTGGTGATATTATAGTTGCATAGCCACTTCCAATAACACTACGTAGCATGATTTACATAGTGTAATAGGTCCACTTGTAAATTCAGCAGAGCCCAGTGCAGGCATAAACACATTCAGCAGATCTTCCATTACTATAAGTGTGATGCTGCTCTTGTTCTCTCTTAGGATATGGCCAAATTATTTGAACTGGTAACAAGTAGTTTCTCTACCAAGAGATTAAGAAACCAGTTAAAATCAGTTAACTAGTTTAATATTTGAAGGCAATCAGGGGTGCTTTCTTAACAAGGAAGCACCTATCCAGCTGTACTAGGCTTTGCATGAACAGTCTATTCGTTTTGAGTAAAGCATCTCTTTTTAACCACAAATATAATATTAAAATATTATGTATTCTGAGAGTATATAACCTGGATTTTCTTTGGGATCCTGTGGCTAAGGCTTTTGACTGAACAATGTCTGGCATTTCTGGGAAACAAAGGTCTTTTAAGGCATCACCCACAAGATGTTTTTGGTCTATAACTTCCATAACCCCTAGTCAGCACAGCCATTGATGAGAGATGATGTGAACTAGTATGCAGTCCTCTGCAGAGTGGGCAGGTCAAGTTTTCTGAAGGAGAAGGGTAAGCAGGATATTTATAATGAAGTCCCAGATATGCCTTCAAATTCCAACTTATGGCAACCCTGGAGTGAACGTATTATGACATTTTTGTGGCAAGATTTGTCAGAAGGGGCTTGCCGTTACCTTCTTCTGAGGTTGAGAGAGTGTGACTTTTCCAAGGTCACCCACCAAGTTTCCATGGCTAAGAACAGATTTAAACTCTGGTCTCTGGAGTTGTACTCCAACATTCAAATCACCACACCATGCTAACTTGCCACACTGGTTGTTGAGTGTGTATGCTCAAAAGTAAATCCAAATATGGGATTGTTCAGAAAAGAAAGAAATAGGCTTATCTTTTAACCTTTCCACTGTGATTTAACAAAGAAGAAGTCTCCTTGGCATAGCTGCCCTCTTTCCTTAGTACCGAAGGCCAATGCTGTGGCACCACGGGTTAAACCACTGAGCTGCTGAACTTGCTGACTGAAGGTTGGCAGTCCGAATCCGCAGGACAGTGTGAGCTCCCACTGTTAACCCCAGCTCCTATCAACCTAGCAGTTTTAAAACATGCAAATGTGAGTCAATCAATAGGTACTGCTTCAGCCGGTAGGTAAATGGCGCTCCATGCAGTCATGCTGGCCACATGACCTAGGAGGTGTCTACAGACAATGCAGGCTCTTCAGCTTAGAAATGGAGATGAGCACCACTCTTCAGAGCTAGAGGGAAAGCCTTTACCTTTTTTCTGTGTTTCGTTGTTCCTAGGCATTGAATGTTTTCCTTGTGTCTGTATATACTGGAATCTTCCCTGAGTCCCCTCGGGGAGATAGGGCAGAATACAAATATATTATTATTATTATTAATATTAATATTTTGAGCTGACATTATTGGATCACAAGAGGCCAGGACAGGCCACCATCCCATCCTCATGCCATCCTCATATTTACATGCACCTACAGAAGGATTCGACCAGTTCCTGTCAACAGGATGGGGTTGGGCATTTACGCTAACAAAGCAAAAGGGCTGATTTAAATACTGAATGAAACCACATTTCCAACTTTCATAGCCTTGCTGATGTAAGAATTGAAACAGTCTGCTCACAACTGCCTAGGATACGATATTATACATGATTGGACATTTTGGTCATCCTTTTTATTTAAATGATATAATAATAAATGTATATATGGGAGCAATAGTAAAGGCAAGGATTTCTGTTTGACTATTCCTGTAACATGTAAGGACACATATTAAGGTTGATTACTTGAAGATTGAGTGCTCTGACTTTCAGAAGCAAAGGCTAGTAGTGGTTAAGTAGTGTTTCTACATGTTTCCAGCAGCACAATCCTAAGCAAGGTGGTGATGGGGGAACAAAGCAGATATTTCACCATTTCTGAAAATCAACTTGCTCCCCACTCCACATACACATATTGTAATACAGTTCCTTTCGACCAGCACAGCAGCACTCCATCCTAATGTCCTCCTTCATTATCTGATGGATCAGCAGGTCAGGATTGCTATACATTTTCTTTTAATGACCAAATTTGAATATTCATAGTAAAGATAAAAGTTTCCCCTTGACATTAAGTCTAGTCATGTCTGACTCTGGGGGGTGATGCTCATCTCCATTTCTAAGCCGAAGAGCTGGAATTGTCCGTAGATGCCTCCAAGGTGATGTGGCTGGCATGATTGCATGGAGTACCTTTGCCTTCCTGTCGGAGCGGTACCTATTGATCTGCTCACATTTACATGTTTTCAAAACAGATAGGTTGTCAGAAGCTGGGGCTAGATTCGAACTACCAACCTTTCAGTCAGCAATTTCAGCAGCTCAGCGGTTTAACCCACTGTGCCACCGGGGCCCCCTGAATATTCATAATTTACACAAAAATAAATACATGATTTATTTGGCATGCCTAATAATGCTTGATCTCCTGAGTCTTATGTTAATAATGGAACTTTGAATGGTGATAATGCTTGTTTGTATTACTTTCTAATACCATTTTAAACAAGCTTTAAGAGATAGAGTAGGACCCCATCTGCAGGAGATATGTTCCTGAGTGGACCATGTTTATATGAAACCGTGGATGTGAAAGAATGTGATCTCACTCCTGGTTCTAGCATGCCATAAAGTTTTGCTGGAAGACCAAGAGATCCCCACCATGGTATCTGCTTGGAAATATCATTATCCTCCAGTGCAACTCAGTGGGTATCTTTAGAGGAGTGGTTGTCAACCTGTGGGTCCCCAGATGTTTTGGCCTTCAAATCCCAGGAACATACAATCAAAGTACTCTGGGCAGGTGGCCATCCAGCCTCTTCTTAAAAATCTCCAGAGAAGGAGACCCCACCATTCCAAGTCCCCTTGGGGAGAGATGACAGTCTATAAATAATAATAATAATAATAATAATTATTATTATTATTACTACTACCACCATTCACCAAGGCAGCATATTCCACTTCCAAACAGCTTTTACTGTCCTTATATTTAGATCAGGCAAACTTCGCCCTTCAGGTTTTTCGGACTTCAACTTTCACAATTTCTAACAATCAGTAAAAAGGCTGGGATTTCTGGGAGTTGAAGTTCAAAACACCTGAAGAATCATAGTTTTCCCATGCCTGGTTTAGATGGAACCTGATATTTGAATCCATTGCTCTGTGTCCTAATCTCCAGAGTAAATGAAACACAAGCTTGCCCTCTCCTCAATCTGATATCCTTTGAAATATTTACAGATGGACATCATGCCTTCATTTCTCAAAGCTAAGCATCCCCAACTCCTTGCTAGCTTCACAGTAATGAAGCCCACAAATGGAAGTAGTTTTTCACCAACATCTGGAATACTGCAAGTTCTCCAAAACCAGTTTAATCATCATGCAGTTGAATCAACATAAAACTGGAGTTTTTTGAAGGAAGTGTGTGAGATAATCTCTGCAAAAACTTTTCTCAGAGGATGGAAAGGGAAGCAAGATATGTGGTTTGAGAGAAGAAAGAGTTTAGATTTTTCTTAATGCAAATGTAAATGGGGAAACCCATTTACTTCCATGCCCCTTCCTTTTTGGCATTTGCAGGGTGGTTGCTGCTTGGCTTGAACAAAATATATTGCACAGCCTTACTATAAATACA